CTGCTGAGTATGTGTGTTTTCTGTAATTGTCTTAAGCCAGATTTTAAGTATGGAAGAGTATCTGTACATGTGATGTGATTTCAGTCTCTGCAGACCTCTGTTGCTGTTACGTACAGCAAAACACATTAGAAGCAGTGTGTTTTCTTGGCTATACTGAGGCAGGTTGTTAGCTTTATGAATATTAATTTAATTTCTAACCATGACAGCGATGTGAGCATTTTGTTCACTTTAATGACATTTTAAGTAACTGGGTTTTTTTGCTGTTTGTAGAAGGATTGTTTTTATCTTCTAAATACGTAATTCAGAAAAGTAGGTCATTTTCAACAGAAATAGCTGTATAATTGCCACGTGTGTGTAAAGGTGGTTTGTAGTACTTAATAAGTTGTATATATTGGTAACAGAGAAGGGAGAGGAGACTCAAGATTCTCTGCTCAGGGATGCCGGCTGTGCACTTTCTTCTGCTGACATCTGGTGGTTAGAACCAACAGTTCGTTGATTTACTTTCACTATCTCTTAAGAAACAGACATCCTGACAACAGTCAGTAAAGGTAAGCTCACGGTGTAGGGTGACCAAAAGCAGTAGCAGGCAGGGTGTGAAACGGTCCGGGGTGCTGGGTTTCAGGGTGGGATGCTGGTACAGCTTGCTGAGGCCGTGGGGTGCTGCATCACCTGGCTTGGGTGTGATGTTTTACCAGCAGGTTCCAAGTTTGACCTACAGATTTGTCCAGTGACAAGCTTTCTGTCTGTCCTCCAGTGAGCTTTGCAGAAGGAGCTGTGTGTGCTTGATACAACATTTTATAGTTTGAGAGATTTGAAAAAGTTGTTTACTTGCACTTTGATTATAAATCTGTATATTCTGAATGGTTACTTCTATTTCCATGTCTTGGTTCCTTTTGTCCTTATCTTTGCTATAAAAACACTGCTAAAAATTTGTGTGCTTATTTCCCTTTTGCAGTGCTGCTATTTTTTGTATGGTTAACTAATGGGGAGTAATTTTATCCTTCATAACCCAGATAGCTGTCAGTGCCTGTGTTCCTGCAGGTAGTTTTCTCTTAACTTCGCTGGCCTGCATCGATAACTTCTTATATGCAGGTGCTGTAAAATGTGGTGTCTTTTTCTCAACACAATATACATGGTGTACTGAGGTCAGAGATATAGGTAATGCAGGATGAGCTAAAGTAGCCTGTTTTATTTCTAATACACCACTGAAGAGATGTGTCTGTGCATGGGTTCTGGTATTTTGGTTTAGTTACTATGAATTTATTAATCTAGTTATTAGGGTGATGAACGCTGCGTTCTTTGTGAAATACTTTATTGTGTGTATTGTCATATTGGCTAAATCTAGACCTTTCATTTCTAAACTCGATGTGAATCGGATTTTCGTGGATTGTTAATGTGCTAAATAATAATAATTTCTGTATTTTATACTGGATTTATGCAGTTGCAACACCCGTGAGTATTTCCAGTATGTGCCAGTCTGTGGCAACAACGTCTCTGATTTGTGGCAGCGCCACTGAGGAAGAGAAACACGTAATGCAGTTGCATTACTTGTAGCAAGAATATTTATTATTTGACTCACAGTATCTTCTTGATGTCTGCCCAGCAAAATCTGTCACTGCTTTGCTCTGCTTGAGAGGCCCTTCTCTTAGGGAATGAATTGGAATGAAGTTACAACAGTGCTGGGATGTCTGTGCAGTGCTCAGAGGGGTCACTGGTTACTTGCTCAGTATCAGATTTTGCAGTTTCTGAGTTGAGTAAGTCTCAAAATAGTGGGGAGAAGAGAGCAAAGGGAGCTGTAATGGTATTAAAAGTGTAATGAAATTATTGACATCATGGTATGGATCTTTCCATGCACTAGATCGTGCTGTGATGGTGCACATCAAAACTGTAGAATATTTAACATTTCTGAGTATATTTATTCTGAATTTTAACTGTGGCACATGGGATCAATTTCAAATGAGATGTAAAAGTTCCTTAAAAATGTTTAAGAAATTAGGTGCAACTTATCAGTTAAAAGGCGTTTTTAAAAGGCATGCACCTGCATTTTGGATAGGACTTAGCTTGTCCAGCATCCGTTAAAAATGGATGTAATTTCCTGTATTTGATGTAGCCTCTTACTAGAGCCTTCATAGCTGTTGCTGTTCTTGGTATCAATACACTGGTGCAGCCTCTGAATTGCTGTCTTCTTACTTCAGCAA